AGTTTAATCAGTCCATTTTTGGGGGCATTGCGAAATGTTGGCGTCAACTCCTCCACAGCTGTCAAAAAAGATGCTCATCAAGAATAAGCTCGCAAATGGCAAGATGAGGAAAAAAAAATGTGGGGGATCTTGATTGCAGAGTCACCCATCAGGTGCCGACGATAAGACAGCTGTCACATGTCGGAGTTGGAAGGCGTCCCTAATAAGCTATTTTTATGTTTATGTTTCTATATTTCTCTCATTTACTGGTGGGCAAAGCGAAACGCAATGACTTCCCGACCTGCTTTATGTTGGGCAAGGATTGCAAAAGAAAATGACTTTGATTTCCGCAAATAAGAGTTGTCCTCTTTTTTTTTCCTGGTATAGATTGTAAAGTACAGCGCAATGATGCCTCGGTTAATGGACTTGATTTCCTTCAGTGAGACATTCATGATTAAAAAATAAAAAATGAAATTAAACATTTGCAATGAATTTTCCTGATTCTTCTCTGTTTGACTGGTTTTTTTTTAACACATCTCATCAACAGTGCAATAGTGCTTCAGTTTATGGACTTGATCGTGGGAAGTTCATTTTCTAAAAAAAAAAATTATTCTACGCATACCGTAATCAGACCACGTGAAGTCAAACTACAAGGAACCCAAATCTATTCAACTATTACTTGAGAAGTTTTTTGGCAAACAAAGGTAGCATTTTTATTAAGAAGTGTTGGATTAATTACAAACATGTGAATTGATGATCTTTTAGGATTCAAGCTACAGAATTAGTTATTCACTTGCTAAAAAAGCCTCTGTTGTGAAGAATTACTGCCGAATTGACTCTTTTGTCATGTTTTTGACACAATTTATTGACCATTCCCAAAGTTTGAGACTTCAGGATTATATTTCTGAAAAGGGCGCGCCAATGTGGATTGGCGTGCTGAAAGACAAATGGCAAAACCATCTGGCAGAAGTTAAGCCTCCAGAGAGATAGTCCCCACAGAAAACAACAGGGGTCCTTCAGTTATATGAGGGACAGAATTACCTGAAAAACATGGGAATTTGATGCATTACTGCGCCTGTGTCTGCAAAAAAATGCAAAAGAACTGTGTTGAATTTGCCTGAAAGAGGCTAAATGCTTTATCTTTGGCAGGTTGCATGCCTGCCAATTTTTCTACCTTTTTATTCCATCTCAAAACTTGTAAAACTCTCTCAGAGCATATGCAGGAATTTTTTGACAAACCCACTTTTGTAAAATCTACTCTCTGCACATACATTCAAGTATGTACTTCTCTCTTCTGGAATTTCTCCAGATAAGATTTGTACATCTGTGCCTGGCAAAAAAATATAAATTTTACCAACCAAGAGCATGTGCATTTAATTTTATTCGAGCCAAAATCAGCATTCTAAGCTATTCAAATATCATCTGAACTTGAGCAGAAAGTGTTCTGAGCTGCCGCCTTGTGGTTGACAAAACATTTTTTCAATGATGAATCCTACTTTTTTCAGAACTTGTAGACTGGTAGGCATTGACTTACCTTGTTTTGACTCAGAATGTATTCATGAAGTCAGATTCATCATTCTTCTGCTTGTGGTCCTTCATTCCAGGAAGAAATAAAAGTTTTCAGCATTTTCTGCCATCAAAGCAGATTCTCAGACAACGATGGAGAAAAAATAAATCTTCATTGCAAAGTTTCAAGAAAGTTTCGCGTCATTTCCTACTCACCTTTTCTTTCCTCCTTGTTGTTCAGTAACTTTCATTTTTCTTCCTCCTCCTCAAGTCAAAAAAAAATTCTCTTTCCGTCGATCTGCTGGAATTCTTCATATATTCCGAGTACTCGTGCGTGGAATTCCTTTTTTCCCTCCGCTGGCGCTCAAAATTTTTCTTTTGGTAGAAATTGTGCAGCAGGTGTTCTTTTCTGGTTAGATCGTTAAAAAAGAGAGGGAGAAATTTTTGAGTCTCTACTGAATATGAACGGGAAACTATGACCTTGATCCTCGTCCAGATAAGGCTTAAGGAGCACCACGCCTGACGAAGCACACACTGCGCAGGTGAATCGAGAATAATGCCCGTCATCTTCCGGGATATCCGTCGTGTTGTGCTTTTATATAGGTACATTTTTGATAAAAAGAAAAAGATTATATATAAGAACGACCGACATAAAAATTGCAGAAACGATGCGACTCTGAAGGCGAAGATATAGAAAAATTTCAGGATGTTTCAAAGACGCGTGTACATATCAGTATATAAGGGTTTTCTCAAAAGTTCAATGGGGCATTTCGAGTAACTGATTGTGTTGACAGAAGAAAATTTTGAACGCTTCCTTGAGCGTATTTTGGAAGTCTCTCTCTCCCTCTCTTCCAAGGAAATTAACTTGTCTTATTTTATTGTGCATATATGAAATATATACATTTGTTATTGTTTTGTAAACTTGAAGTTATTTAATTTAACTGACTGCGGGATAACGCATACAAGAAAGATAGAAGAACTTAATTAGTTTTCTTTTCAAATAAAAATTTTTCGTTTTTGAATGACCAACCGGAAGCGTAAAATCGTGAATTATTCATTGAACAGTGAGTCCATGCATTGAAAAATACGCGTATTGAAATGTTAAATAATTCAACCAGAGCCGAAAAGTGTTTTACGTTGCCTGAGGATTGATTTCTCGAATATACAGGCCATTTTCATGCGAACGTCGCCACAGATTTTCAAACTTTTGAAAATCCCCCAGAATCTAGTGGATGACATGGATCGATTCCTATTCTCTGTATCCTTCCTTTTCTATGCGTATATCTATTGCTTTTCATATTTTCTGTCAAGAGAACTTTGTGAAGTGGCTTTCGAGTTCATTTCCTGCTCTTGATGGAGAAAAGATTTCCATCACCTTGTGCTATTTTTTTCTCTGCTCAGATGTTCAAGTCCGCAAGTTTACACTTGCGTATAATGAAAACCGTTTTTTCGTCCCTCTTCCATGATTACAAGAGTTTTTTTCTTTGCGAAAGACCGTGGATGACTTCAAAAATATTAATCCATTCTTGGTTGACACTTTTTACGTCTCTAACATCTCTTGACTAGTCTCCTGATGAAGTGAACACCGACGTTCAAGAGTTTATTCCCCAAAGTTTCATTTGCGTTTGAAATTCGGAATTGAATGATCTTTGCAGCGTTTATATTTTCATTCAGAGACTGATGAAAGTTGGAAAAGCCCGTTATTTCATGAATATGCAAACATCCTGGTTTCACGGCGATACACAATTTATTCGCGGCCTTGAAGATATTCAAATAACCGGCCATTGTTTCTGGTTGAAAAGGAAGTTTACACACTGTTGAAAATATCCCGGCCAACGATTTCTCAACCAGTCGTGAATCCCCGTGACCTTTCAAGCCTCATTAAAAAAGAAACAGGTTTCGAAGATACGGATTATTAAAAAAGATAAAATAAAAACCGTGGACAAATTTACCACCTTTCCTGTTCCTTTTAATATGACTCCAGATAATAATAAAAAACTGCAATCCACTCCCCTTAATTAAAAATTCATGTTCGGCATGTGATTCAAGAAAAGACAACATACAGATTACAAAAATGAAGAAAATAATACTTTTCGGTTAATCAGCTGTTTTGTGCGAAGAGTATATTCAATCATAATTTTTAGTACTTTCGATTATTTATTTCCTTGGTGCTTTTTGGTGCAAATTGTTAATCACAGCGCAGTAATATGAAATTTCTTCTGCGCAAAAATTGACGAGGATATGGGAAAATGGATTAATAAACTTTAATCACAGCAAGTAGGGATGGATGATGAATGGGTCAAAAGTTTTGAAAATTAAATTCATTCTAATTTTGTCTTTATCCAGGGCTTCCCATTTTTTTTTACAACATTTATTGTTTAGAACAACAACCTCTTAAAAATAGAAAATAAGTGCTCATTCATACTGCTGATGCAAAAAGATGAGTTCAAAAATGTTTTTTCAACTTTTGAATAAATTGAGGGAAAGCAATTTCCTTCACTGGTGGTAGATAATTTTCTTGTCACTGTAAAATCTTTCATTCAACTGTATTATAATAAATGGAACACAGGTAATGTACTTGAAAACTTCAAACTAGACTTTATTGTGAAGGTGTCATTGGTCCATTGGATCCCAGACAAAGGGATTGAATTGTGCAGCCATCAGAATGCAAGTTTTGAATAATAACTCAAACTCTTTTCAGAGGAGTTCATTCTCATTGCCCAGATCATCATTTGGCTGTTAATGAAATGCTTGGAATGGCAGAGTCAATTGTAAGATTGCTTGGTTAGCTCAGAAGAATGAATGAGATAATTCAAGTTAAAAGGCCATTTAACGCAAGATTCTCACTTTTTCTCTCAAAGAGGAATGAAGGCTTTTATATCCAGGTGCTCAGACTGGGTCAGGAAGAAAGCAGGTGATTTCTTGGCATTCAGACAATCTTGGCATTCAGGATTGGCCAATTTAGGGAAAATCAAGGAAGTGATGACCACTTCTTGGCCTTGGGTGAGGCTCAGTGAGTCTTGCAAAAACAGGATTTTGGCAAGGCTCACTGGCCTCATATGCAACAAGTTCTTTTGGCCAGTTGCAGCCAGGTGCAGCAGCTGCGCCGCTTTGGGATGTTACAGAAAAAATGAAATTTGAAATCCCCAATTCCATTTTCTAAGACCTGTCTGAATGCCACACAAAATACTTTAAATAATTGAAAAACCTCCTTCATTGACAATTTATTTGCTCTGACAGTAATTTTTCAAGCAGCTTTCTTCAGTTGATAATTGGCCATTTTTTTATGCTGATTGTGAATATTGATTTATAAATTTCCACTGTTGAACTATTAGTTGTTGAAATCGTTGCTCACATCTTTAAATAAAATCCCTCAGAAATGAACAGTGGCTTCTGCACTTTTGATAAAATAAAAATTCACATCCAGGACCGTGGTGCACTGAAACTTCAGAAGAACTTCTCTTCAAGTATCCGACGAAATGTTTAAACTTCGGCCTTTCAAAATTCATTAAAACTCTCTCTCTTTTTTTCAGATAAAATCAAGAAAAAATCCAATGTGAAGAGAATAGCCCAGCGGAGTGGTTGGGATTTTGTGACAATGAAATGAACTAGTTGCAACAACAAAAAAATCACGAGGATTCGACGCAGTGCAATTATTATTTGTTGATTCCGCGGACACGTCAACAGTGATTTCGTTTCCAGCATGGATTCAGAAAAGCTGGAGAAAATGCGAATTTCGCACAGCGGACTTGTGGCTCGTTCCCCGGAAGGACATGCTGCCAAGGGCATGCAAATCAAAGGAAACGAAGACCTTTGGGTAGAAATCCAGGCCCACACTTTCCGGAACTGGGTCAATGAACAAATCAAACCCACTGGTGAGTCCTCCATTTATTTTACTTTTCGAAAATATTGAAACCCTATAAAAATCGAGTGCTTCACAAATAGCCTCAGAGACGGAACTTAAAAAAAAGCAACGTGCACGTTGAGAATTTTACTTGCGAAAAAGGAGAGATTGAAAATTAAATTCCCATCTTCTCGAAAATCACCTGACTTTTGATGAGAGAATTTCGAAATACCCCGAAATTGCGTTTCGAATTTTCCTTGAGAAACAGAAGCAGGAAATAACGAATTGAGAATTTTCGCGCGCGGAAAAGTTTAAAATCATTTTCGACTGTCCAGTATCTTTAAAAAAATTTCAAAAAATGTTCGATCATTAATTTTTAATTTTTATATATTGTACTGTTCTCCTAAAATATAGATTATTGAGAGGAATGTTGACCGAGTCATAATTTCAGCAGAAGAAATTTAAAAGAAAGACTTGCTTCAAAGTTACTCATTCAAACAGCTGTTGCTTTAAATAAGAATTCTGACTCACAAAAATGGGTGAAAAATATTCTAATTTTCAAAATACTGACATAAGTTAGAAAAGTCAATAATATGAGTCAGCTTTACTCAATTCATTTCTTTTAGGAACAAAAAATTGAAACACAAAGGTTCTCATGATCACAATCTGGTCTTTTTTTTTGCCGATAATACTATTTCATGAAGTAATATATGCATTACTTTAAGTGCATCTCATAATTGCTATGCTAATTTGCGTGCAGAAAAAAATCCTGTCGTGTTCATGATGCATCTAAATGGATTCGAAGCTAAGTACCTGTCAACTTTTTTGACGCTTCCAATGGTAATTGTTTCAGGTACTGCTAATTGCAGTACTTTAGTTACATCCTCATATAAATTGTAGGATTAGAAATACATGAAAATTATCAAGGCGTGTTTGATGCAAATTGTTTTAAATCAAATTGAAAAAGAGCGCAGAGAATATTGTATCAAAAATCAAAAGATATTGACGAGTTCAGAAACCTTGTCGTCTGTTGAAACCTTTGAAAAAAGTTTGTCTTGTCCTTTTTTGAAAGTGCTTGCTGCCAATTTTTTTTTCTGTTTCGTGAAACTTCAATTTTCAGGAGAACATCATTTGAATCTCCTGTATCACTTAGCTATACACATTTATCTGCTTTTCCTTATAAGTTCTAAAATGTGTTTACAATTTCCACAATGAAAGTTTGAAGCTGATCGCACTTTCTTCATTGTTTTTCACTATGAAATATATTTGTTGAATGGTGGGAATTAAGACACAAACACACGGAAGCTTGTTGAAAATTGAATGCAGTTCTAAAGTGAATGAATCACGAACATGAATTTCGAAATGCTTAGGTACCCAGCAAGTACTTGCGAACTCAACTGCCAATCGACGAGATGTGATAAAAATGTCATGTACTTGGATTACAATCGGAAAACTTTAAATAGAATTCATCTTAAAATAAACAAAAATAAAATATTCATATACCTCAAGGATGGAGCGTCTGACAATAAATCTTCGACCTCGCAAATCAATCTCAGAGAATAAATCTGAAATATGAGAAAAATCTTGCATCTATATAAGAATTAGCTGGATGGAATTTTTCTTTGTAAAAAAAAACATTTTTAGGTCTGGTGGTTCAGGATTTGGAAACGGATTTTTGCGATGGATTGAAGCTGATTGCGTTGTTGGAGGTGCTGCAAAAGAAAAGTATCCGGAAAATTGCGAATCCCATCAACCAACACCAGTTTTTGGAAAATGTGCAATTTGCTCTGAACTCGATCGAAAACGATGGCATCAAACTTGTCAACATCGGTGAGTCAGACTGTCATACAAATTTTTTTTCTGTGATCAATTCCCAAACAAAATACGAGGTATATTTTTCAAGGAGAAATTTTCGTTAGAACTGGTTTCTTTTTATTTTCAAAATTTCTGCTTCCGTTCAGAAATTACTCGCGAAGGCATTTTTTAAATTCGAAAAATGTTAATTCGAAATTCGGCAGTAGAAGTATGTATCATGAAAATGGTAAAATATTTCGAAAAAGCGTTATAATTTAATAATATTCCAATAATATAATTTAATTTATATGATAATTTGCAATGATTAAATTTTTTCTGATATTTACATTTTTCCGTTGTGCTTGACAAATGTAAAAGTTGCGTCAAAATGTTCATGCTTGAAGAAAAATGTGAACAAATCAATGTTGCAACGTAAAAAATAAAAAATAAAAATTGAAAGATTGCAATTAAATTGAAAAAGGAAAGCTTTTCAAGTAAAATATATGTACTTCAAGACAGAAAATTTATGAAACGCTTAGACGGGAGAAGCTGTTTCTCTTGTAATTGACTGAAAAAATCCTTTTCAAAATTTTCATTTATCTTCTCGAAAGCATTTTTCTCAAAATTTTGTGAACAAAGGCGGGCTTCACGGTCTAGTTCTTTCTCGCTCAGTGTTCATGAATAATTCTGGCTCCAAGACTTGGGTACCAAAAGAACCTCTTTCTCAAGTACTGAACTAAAAAAAAAAAAACTTCAAAAACCCTCCCACGTTTTTTGTTTTGTTGTGCTCTTATCATCCTTCTTCACCATAGATGAATATATTTCGCCATAAATTCGCTGATGAATCAAGGCGAGAAAGGTGTGTTTGTGAGAAAGGATTCGTCCCACGCCTTCCTGGGTTCTGCTACTTTATATATGGGGGGGTTTTTCCTTTTATAGGCAATGAGGACATAGTGAACGGGAACCTGAAGCTGATCCTGGGGCTGATCTGGTCTCTCATCTTGAGGTACCAAATCGGCCGTTCAAAGTTCCCACCCAAGAAACTCATGCTGGCCTGGTTACAGGTGAGTGTTTTAGTTGTTTTTTTTCCTTCAAATAAAAAGTTGTTACCCATGAATCACCACCTTCTGTGACTGTGGGCAAGAAGAGAGAGAGAGAGAGAGAAAGGAAAGATTTCTGGGAATGGTTTTCCTATTTTTTCCTTTCATGGTACAATTGTTGAGGACTTGAAGCTTCCTCAACTAAAAGTTTGATTAGGAAAACAATGAAACCCATCAATCAGCCTGGGACTGGCTGATGAAAGCCTCTTTATAGATTCTCCAAAAAGAATTAGGTTTATTTATGTCCCAAGGCAGCCAACTCAGTGAATTTCACAATCACAGAAACCCAAAACAATTACACAAGTCTTTTAGTGTTAATTAAGGTGAGGTTTTTAGCTCTACTCAGTTGAAGAGTTGGCAGTGGAATGAATTCTGAGTTTGGTTATTTGGGATGAGGAAGAAGTAAGCTCAGGAAATAAATTGGGCATTTTGAAATGCGTTTTAAATGCGTTTCTAGCCCAAAATGCTACGCATTTCAAGCTCCTCTATGTTACGCCTACTCGGGATTTTGAATAATGCATAACACATAGGCGTTTTGAATGCGTAACTGTTACATGCAGCAATACCCATAACAAATTACTGTATTTGCTGGGAGAGGAGGAAAGTGGTTTTCCTTGAGTGGGTTTTTCTATGTTTCTGATTGGCTAATTTTGACAGAATCAAAGACAATGCTGTGTGTCATATTGTACAAGTCCTTCAGGACTTTTTCTTTGGTGCTGGGTGTACCATTTTGCATTGGTGCAAAGTGTTTTTTCCAGATCTTTACTCAAGTTCAAGTCTATCAGGCCAAATTTAAAAATAGCTTTAAATTTTGAATTTGAAGACATATACGTGTCAAAGCCCGTTTAGGAAATCAACTACTGTATTCATGAAAATTCATGCAATCATGGCAAATTTTCAGTGAGAAATTTCCAGTTGGTCAATGTATGTCCAAAAAGGGAAATAACTTTGCTCAGAGCAATGTACATTGGGTTAAAAATGTTTTTGGATCAACAATTTAGTACGTGATTGACTGATTTACTCAATTTTATTTTTTGGCAGGCTGTTATCCCTGAATGCAGACCAACAAATTTCACGAGTGACTGGAATTCCGGCATCAGTCTCAGTGCACTTTTGGATTACTGCAAACCCGGGTTATTCCCGAATTGGCGAGACCTTGATCCGAATGATGGGTAAGTTATTTTTTCAAGGTAATCAATGGCTTTTTTATTACCGAAGAAGCTCGGAAAAACCTGGGATAATTAATGAGGAATTTTATATTCAACAAGCATGACGTCAGAATTATATTGGCAATTATCCATCGGTAGACTTGACTCAGTGTCCATTCGTTTTCTCTTTTAGGTTGAAAAAAATATTACAGACAAATCCCTATGATGATTAAAATGATTATCCCAGATTTATGGTCTGCTGCTTCTGCATGCAATTAAAAAAGTTAAGAACATTAAAATCTCGTGAGAAATTTTATCTGACCTTCTGAATATAATTTGTCGTTCGAAAACTTTACGGACACTGCGCAACACGCAACAGGCTTCTGAAATACGAGTACAGTTTATATTAAAAGTAATTTTTCGAATCTCTATTGAATGAAATCAAACAGATCGAGCTTTTCAATCGGTTTTCAAAATTGCTCATCAGTTATAGTTAAACGCATAACAGAAGTACAATAACAAAGTTTATCTTTAAATAATACACATTTGTCCAATCCCCATGAACATCAGAAAAACGGAAGTAACACTTCTTCCTCGTGCTAAATTATGAAATGTCGACAGTGTAACAGTTTTGCCTCATCATTTTTTCCGAAGTTTTGGCCTGGACCGTCAAATTTTTTTACATTTTCAATCGCATTGTATTCCTCACCATGACGAAATTCGATTTGTAGTAAATCCCAATGGTTCTGGGAAATATTAAGTTTTCTCCTTGTTTTCCTCCCGATTCCTGGAGTTTAGAAATTTTATATTTTAAATTTCTTAACAATGAAGCTTCCAAAATAATTGCACTACAGTAAAAAAATTTATGAAATGAGAAATTGGAATATTTACTCAAGTGCCACGCAGAAAAACCAGGAGGAAAGTAATTACTTGAACTGAATAATTAAATTTTTGCTACAGATTTCTTACCAGAACCCATATATGTTTGTATGCTGTGTGCATTTGTCTTTGTTGAAGGATTTCAAATTTCAAGAGGCCAAAAAGATGACAAAAAATGTAACACAGTTTTCACAAATGTTCTCTCACCTTAAAAAACATTCACTTTGACTGCTATACTCTCATACAGTCATATGTGTATGTGTCTTGGTCTTTGTTACAGTTGCAGAAATGAGCTTCAAAAATAGTTCAGACTTGTAAAATTCAATGAAAAGACTCTTTCCAAACTCTTAGTGGATCAAGATAATCTGGTAACCTTATGTGATTTCTCATCAAAGATTAACTCTATATTGTTTGATCAACTAATATTTGAAAGCAGATTAAACACCTTGTGCTTTCATTTGGGTTTAGTATAATTGCTTTATGCTGCAATTCTCATTATTGATATTTTTGATTAAGGAAGGGAAGAAAGGGTATACTGTACATTCATATCAGTTGTGCAGTTTCACTTTTTGGGATATACTGTATTTACTCAAGTACCACGTGCACCTTTTTTCTCAAATTTCAGAAGAAAAAAAGGGTGCACGTCATAAGTGGGTAACACTTTTTCAAGAAGCTTTAGGAAATTATGTGTGCATTATACTGAATTATAATGAAGAAATTTTCAAAAAATGTAACAAGAAAAATTTTTGTACTGAAAAGTTGAACATTGATCAGATTTTTGTTCAATTCATGTCTGAAGTCAATTTTTTGTTTTTATTTTTGAAATTTTGTGGTTTTAGATTCACTAAAAATTGGGGTGCGCGTCTTACTTGGGGATAAGATTTTAGCCAAATTTCCAACTGAAAAACCCCTGTGTGTGCCTTACTTGAGGGCGTGTGGTACTTGAGTAAATATGGTATTCTTTTTTTTCAATATCCATGTACAGCTTATTTCTCTGTTTTCCATTCTGATGTGATGGAATGTATTTGGATGAATGTGAGTGGGAGAGGATGGGGTTCAGATGTCGGAAGATTGCTTGAACTTATTGTTACTGCTGAAAATCAGAAAATAAAGCTTGCTGTTCAATTCAATTGAATTCAATTGTTACAGTTTTTGGGATTGCTAAAGAGCAAAAAATAGAATAAAAATTCCAACGCAGTTTTCACAAATGTCCTCGTCTCACCTTTACAAATTCCTCCTTGATCTCATGTGTGCGATGTATTTATTGTCTTGGTTGATGCTCAGGATTCGGAATTGCAAGAGGGCCATGGAGCTGGCCCAGCGAGAATTCGACATCCCCATGGTGCTGGAGCCGGAATACCTTGCGTCACCTTACCTGGACGAGTTGTCGGGCATGACTTACTTGTCCTACTTCATGAAGGAGAACTCGCCGGGATACACGGCGACCCTGGACTGGACCAAGTCCCAGTTGCCACAGTTGCCCATTGACAACTTCACTGTGAGTATAGTACAGCGCTTTTATGTTCTTGTTTTTTTTTAAAGATTCCTTTTTAACAAGTTTCTTCTTCTTTGCATGTCAATGAATTTTAATTTTTAAATTTTTTTAACAATGGCGATTTTAAGCCTGTATATACAATATATACCATATTTACTCGAGTACCACGCGCCCTCAAGTAAGGCGCGCACAGGGGTTTTTCAGTTGAAAATTTTGCAAAAATCTTATCCCCAAGTAAGACGCGCACCCCAATTTTTAGTGAATCTAAAACCATAAAATTTCAAATATGAAAACAAAAAAATTGACTTTAGGTGTGAATTGAACAAAAATCTGATCAATTTTCAACTTTTTCAGTACAAAAATGTTTTCTCGTTATATTTGTTCCAAATTTCTCCATTAAAATTAAGTATAATGCACACATAACTTCCTAAAAATTCTTGAAAATTTTGTACCTGCTTATGATGCGCACCCCTTTTTTTCTTTGGAAATTTGGGAAAAAAGGTGCGCGTGGTACTTGAGTAAATACGGGTATATATGCAGGGTGGGCCAAAAGAAAGGGAATCAGTTTTTAAATGACAATAGCTCTGTATATAGCAACTCAAGCTACAACCATGAAAAAAGGAAAAGGAAAGTAATTTCCTTTTGAATGATTGATTGATTGATCAGCAAAGCTTTATTTCCTGCTTTTCAGCATCCACAAGTGGGTGAAAGCAATTTGGCGCCACCTATCCCTTACAGTACCCACATCCAAACCCCCTGCCCTCCCCACCCACATATTCATCTTCCAAACACATTCCATCACATCAGAATGGAAAGTAGAGAAATATGCGGTACATGGACATGAAACAAAAATAAAATACATCCCAAAATGTACAATTTCACAACTGATGTAAATACATGCATGCACTTTTTTCCACTCCCTGTTAACAAAAACATAATACCAGTGATACAAATTGTGAGGTATGGCAATTATCTAATCCAAATTAAAGCATAAGGTGTTCAGCCTGCTCCCTGATAATTTTCAAAAAGATTGAAAAAGTTTGTGAGAATTGTTGATGAGAAGTCATATACTGTACAAAGTTAACAGTTCATCTTGGTCCTCTAAGATTTGGAAAGAGTCTTTTCAATGAATTTTAAAAGTCCTGAAGCTCCTTTTTGTAGCTGTGGAATGCTGGGGATAAGAAAAGAAAGATGGAATGATGATTTTTATGGCCATAAGTGCCACAACATGATCACAATAACCATTTGAATGATGGCTTTAAAATAAGCTGTCAGGCAAGTCCTTCCTTAGTGTGAAGTTTATGCTCATCTGTTTTTAATTGAGTCAAACCATTTTTCATTTGACAAAAAATCTTTTGTGAGACTGTGTGACGAATATTTCCCTTCTTTAAATATTGCATTTGCATGCAAAAAAAGCAGTTCAAATTGACGACCTCTAAATTGTTAACCTCCAGCTGTGCAAAGTTGATCATCACACGCGTAAATGGATAGTAAATTCAATTTGAGAGACATCTGGTCGAGATGAAGGGCTTTAATTTACTTAACCTTGTAAGTAATGTTGACCAACTTTTTTCGCCTGGTTTTTTTTTTTGCACAATTTCCAAGATTTTTTTTTCATGCATCCGCGACCAAGCGTTGAGATTCTGCATCTATAAATGAGCGTGAAAAAGCGTTTATTCCACCTTCGATGTTTAGATTACTTTTTTTTTGTGGATGAGAATGATTTTTTCATGAGTTTATTAGGTTTAATAAATTCGTGGTTGCAGACGGATTGGAACGATGGTGCAGCAGTTTGCGCCCTGGTGAGAACTTTCGGAGGCCCCATTCCAGAATACGACAAGATTTACAAAAGCGAAGCCTATTGGGAGTCAAATTTGAAAAAGGGTTTCGAAGGAGGCGAGAAAATAAACATACAGCCTCTGTTGAAACCCAAGGAAATGGCGGATCCTCACGTGAACCATTTGGGACCCATGGCTGTGAGTATATATACTATTATGCGATGCAACAATTTGAATGATTTATTTTTTGAATGCATAATTTCGTTTGTATTTTCTCTCCCTCTTTTATTTACTCAGTATGTTGCTAGGTTTCAGTGGTTGACCCCGAGAAATACCCCTGGGGAACGTATCAAGGTGACATCTTCCGTCAGAACCGTGAAAATTCATAACCAAGTACGTTTTTCAAAATGTTTTTTTTCGGGGGTCTTTATTCTTCAGAGGTTATTTCAATTTGTTTCACATTTTTGTGCTGGGTTGATGGAGATGGAATTGATTCTCCAAAAAAATTATAATTCATGATATTGTTAACATTTCTGTGAAGTACGAAGTAAGGATTTTTATTTCTGTGAAGGACTATCAAGTAAAATTCAAGGGAAGTTCATGTTCGAAAGGACAAAATCTGGTACTTGCAAAAAGTGTGACCAATTTTTTTTAAACAAAAGGGATATTTTCTAAGAATGACTTTCAAAAATGTTTCTATCACTAAAATTTGAGTAATTAAAAATATGCAATTTATCAAATTTCCAAGATTTAATGTTTTTAAGAAGTTGAGATTTTCGATTGGTATTTTTAAAAATTTCTGTAGTTGAGCAAAAATGTTGAAGGTTATTTTGTAGGAAATCCTAATTTGAAGCCAAAATATTAGCATTCATTCAAGTCCATTTTTGAAATTGTATGCGCAAGCATAAATGTATTTTCTGAAAAAAAAATAAGGATATCAAAAATTTCGTACATTATTTATCTCTGTTAAATAATTTTTTGTTTAAATCAGGTGCCATTCAACATTGATTTCCTGGACGATGACGTGGAACCCGCGAATCTCCGAGCCGAGATCCATTGCCCCAACGACAGAGTGATTCCCATCAAGCTGGAAATGACACCCAATGGTGCCCGCGGGGTATTCGTACCCGAGGAGATCGGGATGCATCGGGTCGTGGTGACGAACGAGGGGGAACTGGGCTCGGGTTGCCCCTGTGTGGTGCGGGCCACGCCGGAAACGGTCAAGTACACCCTGGGCGGAATTGATCCCTGCGCCATCGGGTCCATTGTGGAGGTGCTGGTCAGCCCGAATGGTACCACCGGAGAAGGAGTGGAGGTGTGCGCCATTGCACCGGATGGCGAGGAGAAGATTTGTCCGGTGTCCAACGATTCAGGTGATGATGAAGTAACTTCATGTATATTAGGTCAGTGTTCCCCAACCTTTTTGGGACTGCGGACAGGCAAATTTCCCACGAAAAAAAAAAAATGTTGCAGACCAGCAATTTCCTCAAACTTTTTCTGCGGATCGGAAAATTTTCTTGCATTTTTTGCAGACTCGATGAAGTTTTGTTTGAAAGAATTTATGGTGGGTATTTAAAAAGTTTCTGCTTAAGAAAAACATTGAATGCCAATGAAGCAGATCTATAGGGAAATAGAAAAGTTGGTCTTGAAGAAAGGTTTCTCAGGATGAAAGAAAATTAAAATAAATTATTTCAACGTGCAAAAATATGTCTGAAGTGTTGGTTGGAAGAAAAGCCAACTTTTATTTTTCCATCAGACAATTTCAGCTCTGCAATTGTCTTGGCAAAATTTTGGATAAAGATAACAGACTTCATGGCTACTTTTGATAAATTCACTATGCTGCAGAAAATTCCCCACAAAGAAGCAAAAATCTTTTGATGACCCATACCTGTCTGCCAACCATGGGTTGTGGTACACTGTTAACCCTTGGACAGCTGAAGGTTCCTTTGCATTGTGTGGTGGAGTCAATATTTTTTGGGGGTCAGCACATTTCAATTTGATCCAAGGTCACTGAAATCCTCCCAGGTTGAGATTAAGTTGTAAAAAATCTGGGAGGCAAATTTTTTTTTCCAGGAATCTTCCATGCAAATCCTATGCCAGGTGTTGCAAAATTTTCTCAGTAACTTCTGCAGAACCAAGCATATCAAGTTTAATCACCAGCCTCGAGCTGACGGAAAGCAATTTTTCATGTCAACATTTCTTGAAACAACCTAATCCTCAAAGAGAAAATGCCAAATGGCAACTTTAGAAAACTAAGCAATAACCAGAGAGGAGTTTTGGAAATTGCTGAAACTCATCCTTGGTTATTTCTGTGTGGATTGGGTTTCTCTCCTGTTCACACAAGGAACTGAAATAAACCTTTGGTCCTTGAATCTTTCAAATCCCTAAAAACCAAAAAAACAGTAACCATACCCCAAGCAGGCAGAAGCTGCAATCTAACCTTAAAATCTCTGTGGAAATTTCCACAAGAAGACCCCTTTTTCCTGAGGAAAAGACTCAGGGTTTTTCATCACTATCTTTTGAAACATTGGCATTGTGCAGAACCACAAGTACTTGACAAACTTGCGTGAAAACTGGTAGAAAAATTTGTGTGTGTGAATATAACATCTTAAAATAGGGTGTTCTTGAGCACCCCGGTTGTAGCCCTACCAAATCTCTGGTACTAATTCTTTTTTTTTTCTTTGTATAAGTTCACTTTCAAACCTCCATAACACCAGGAATGAAGGAAAAAGTGCCACCACATGAGGAATTTTTTTCATTACAAGTTTTCTGCAGGATTAGAAGAAACTATTGGACTTTTTCCCAACTTACGCCTTGGTAGAAAAGTAGGATTTTTTTTAATCCCCAGTGCTTAGTGGCACAAAATGTTGCAAAATTATCCTGACTTTGCTGCACAAGGGTAAATTTATTGTTTTTTCAGGATATCAAGTGTTACCCGGCCCTTGATGTTTTTTTTAATTATTGCATATAGGTGTATACATGGGCACATTCCAACCAGACCAGGCTGGAGAATGGAAAATCGCAGTGACCTATGAAGGCGAGCACATAGAAGGCAGTCCCTTCACTTGCTATGTGTATGACCCGAACGCCATCCGGGTCACTGACCTGGACGGGGCCTGTCCATGTCTGGACTTTACATTCACTGTGGACAGTCGGGATTGTGGCTATGGGGAAACACTGGTGGACGTGGCCTATTCGGGCAAGTCTGTTCCACATCGGGTCATCCCGATCGAAGAGGGACTGACCAAGGTCACCTTCCGACCCCCGGCCCGGGGCAAGTGCCGAGTGTACGTGTACTTCAATGGCATTGAGCCGAAAGGTGAGGCAATCCCAATTGTTTATTTTTTCGTCTTCTTTAAATAAAAAAATCATTTGAAAAAGAATTTTTTTATTTAAAGAAAAATGAAGTATCTAGAGTTGGTTTAGAATTTTAGAATAATCCGTTATCGCACTCTCATTTGTAGTGGATTCCCACAAGAGTATTTTTTTTAAATAGTTGCATCGCGATGATTTCCTTTGAAAAATGGCTCTTTTTTCATATATAGACAGGAAAGAGAAAAATGTTCAACGTCTGGTTGCGTCACGAGGTAAAAAGGAAATCGTTTCTCACGAGGTCAAACTTTTCACCACGAACAGTGAACCTTTTCGCCATTAATTTTCGCTTTTACACCGTTATTATTTGTGTCCAAGTTCTTCTCGTAGAACTTCTTGCTCACTGGTTTTCTTTTTTTGATACAGTGATACAAGCTCATTATTTGGCGTAAATGGTTACAAAAACATTGCGTTTTGATTTTCTGGTCGTCAAGTTGCGACAGAAGTGTTCCGAGATTTTTGAGCTTTTTTTGATTGAATATGAGCTTTTTTTTTTTTGGTTGGATCTTGAGATTTTCTTATGCGCCCTCTGAAAAAGATGTGTGATTTTTTTAGGTGTAGATGTCACTCGAAATCGTCAGGAATATTTTTACATTTTCGCAGATATACAGTATAATTTAAACTGTTTCTAGAGAAGAAGTCCAAAATTTTATTTCTCGGTGCAAAAAAAAAAATCACTGTCCAGGGCATTTTATTTTTTCTTCTTTTTTTGTTAAATCAAGATAAATACCGTAAATCACAAGATCAAGCGACGCTGATTAGGGCACAGGTCATCAGGTGAAGTGAACCTCAATTTATTCTCTCCTCAATATTTGTCGACAGCGTCTCCATTCACGATCCGAGTGGGTTCCCACGACCACGACAGCAAAAAGATCCACGAAATGGAAAAGCGGTCGCAGAGACGAGCAGCCCGAGCAGCAGCAGCAGCAGCAGCAGCAGCCACCAGCACCAGCAGCAGCGTCGGCAACGTCAACAGCCTCCCCAGGATGAGCTCCTCCAAGGAACCAAGTACTATCTGCGCTCACTGATCAATTTATCTTCCGAAATTCATTCCAAACTCACAAACCTTTACACGCAAACAAAAAAAAGAGGAAGAAAAAACCAAGGAACAAGCGAAATAAGAATGTCCTTGGTTTTTAGAATTTTTTTTTGTATTTGCGTGTGTCTCCCATATTTCGTTCAAATGTCGGGTCGTATTATTTGATGTGGATCGAGGGCCTTTCGGATTCTTGTTGAGATTGTTATTGATATTATCTTGCACCATTTTTTTACTAACTGCACGATTTAAAAAAGAAGGACAAAATACGAAGAAATAATCGAAGGTATAAATCTGAATTGAATCGATTCATATAGAAATGGGAAACATTACAGAAGAGAAATCTTGTAAATCGTTCATATGCTGACAAACAATTAATTTAAAAAATCAGACAATCGTACACTTGAAGGAGGATCTATTTTCGGGGGAAAAGAGTCATACAATAAGTTTTTCATCATCAAAGGGCATCTCGCAGATTATTTTCAAAATTTTTTTCTTCTATGTAAAATTGCTGCTGTGCAAATTTGATGTGAAATTGAGGATTTTTTAACGAATCCCATTCTTACACAAAGAAAATTTGAGGTTTTATGCATCTCATTAGGGGTTTGACTAACAACAAATGAAAAAGCAAGTGCTTGAAAATAAAAATGAAAAAGTAAGTGCTGTAATATTTTATGAACCCAAAGAAAATATGTGCTTCGAGTAATTTTTTGCTGTTGTTATATTCGGCTATCAAACTCAAATTCATCCAACAATTCTTTTCTAAAATTGCGTTTAGGAATAAAATGTGAGTTGATTAGTAAGTCAAGTTGGCAACATAGACAGCTCAACAAGGCATTTTTTCTCAAGTGTAAGCCCGGTGATTTGTCCAAAAAAGGCATTATTATCACTCTTATTATACAATGATCAGCTGATTCTTTGGAGAACCCATGATAGGATTTGAAAAAATCATATGCAAAACAATCTAAACTTGTTCTAATCCTATTCTTGAAACCAATTGGAGATTAAACCTTGCATAAATTGTTGACTTCTGCAATAATGTCAGTTTGGAATAAGCTCAACTACAGTCAACCCCTGCCTAACAGACTTCCCGCCTGATGGACAAAATCTGCCAAACAGACTTCTCTTGGTCTAAAATAAAGGTAAACAGTAAAAATTTTAATTGTTTTATACTGTAATTGAATTTACATAACTGACTTTTCACACAACAGACCAGCCTATGGCACAAATTAAGTCTATTCTGTGGGGTTTGACTGTACTCTTCAACCTTTGCCATTTTTGGCTTTTTTTTCTCCTCTTTCAAGGACTATGAGTGAATGCTTGTGCAGTAATCCCAAGATGGAACATGTAAAAAGGCTTAAATTGAAGAAAACCTACTGTAATTTTTCCAGAATATGTTCAAAGTCTTTGTCTAAATAAGTGTAATTCAGCATTTTTGGGCTGACCAGCATATTTCCACATGTTATTCAGACTGGGAAAGTTCCATAAAATGTTTGCAGACCAGCTGACATTTTTTCAATCCATGCCAAAGAGTCCTCTGAAGTAAACTTTCATTGCCAAAATTAAGCGGAGAAACAATGAAGCGGCTACAGTGGAATGTCTTTAAAAAATGTAAAAAAAAACTTGATTCTTGAAATTTGCAAAAAGGAAGAACTTTTTTAAATGCCTGACATAAAGTCTTTAATGCAAAACATTTTTGTAAAGTTAAAAAAATGTCATGACAATTTTCTGATCTACAACAATTTTTATGGCAATTTGCTGTTCTGGGGGCCAAAAAAGTTTGGGGAACATTGCTCTAAATTAGTGTTCCCCAACTTTTTTGGAGCCATCAAAAAAATTGTTTGCAGACCAGCAAATTCACCAAACATTTTCTGCAGACTGGCAAAATTTCATAAAAATTTTTCAGACTCAAAAAATGTTTGTTTGAAAGACTTCATGGTAGATATTTCAAAGTTTCTGCTTTTTTTGTTTAAATTAAGCTAAGCACCATTGAATCTGCTACGGGTACATTTCATGGACAAAATTAGAAAGGTTGGTTTGAAGAAAGGCTTCTCAAAATGAGAAAAGAATTAAAATACTGTAATTCATTTCAGCGAGTGAATATTTATCTGAAGGGGGTTTCCGCTCCTTTTGTTGTTCTGAAAATGCTGGATAAATATAATAGACTTGTTTGTTATTTTCGATCAATTTATAATGCTGAAAGTTCCCCACGGACCACGGGTTTGGGGAACACACTGCTTGAAATCATTGAAAGAAAAACTATGCTCCCTCAGAAATTCAGTGGAACTTATTTGGAACCACCGCCGCGGGCGCCTCTCGTCGCAGTGCATACCCACTTACCAGGCATATAGATTTGCATGTGATGACATATCTTAACAAATATATGCTTTGTTCTTGTGCTCCGCCCTAATGCCTGAGTTTGGTAATCCGGTATAATTCACACAATGTGTGTGTGTGTGTGCTGTGTGTGTGCAGGGTCTAACTTCAACTCGCTGCGGAAGGTGGTGCATGAGACGCAGTTGGACATGCGGCGAGGGAGTGACAGCACCCTTGACAGCCAGTCGGCCCCCTTAACCAACCACCGGTCCCCTAATGGCTCTTTCTCGCCCCTGCCCGGATCCCCCAGCAGGGAGTCCAAGGTGTCTGAACACCTTGTCTCAGGTTCGTCCACACACCCTATATAAATACTGTATGACCCTCTTTGTTTTTTTTTTTTTTTATTTCTTCTATACTGTGCGTTAGTCACCCACACATCACTCACACACCATCTGTTGAGACCTTTGAGACTGACTCAACAATATGTATCTCAATGAGGATATTTCAAAACTTGGTAAACAAAATATTTTGTGCAGTAGAATGTGTTGAAATGAATATCTCAGTATAACAAAATATTCATTATAAAACTAATTGTTATTGGTCCTGTAACTCCTGGCAGATTCCCATGGACATAATGTAACAAACATCTTGTTTCAACAAACTAATTTTCAGCTGTAATCTAATTATAACAAATCTTTGGCTATGATTCTGTGCATAGGCCACAGGGATTATTTGTTAAATGGCAGAAAACTTGGAAAAATTAAAAGGGGCAGCATTCCAACTTTTTAAAAAAAGAAATCTTTCTATGGAGAGAACTTGGTGTTCAAAAAAATAAACAACAGGACATACGTATTTTTGGAAAGTCTTTAGCTCCATTTTAGAATGTATGCCCTTTCTTCAGATGAACAGTATGTTAAAAAAATGTTTGTTGATTTGAAAAAATAGGCAGCTATGAGGGAACAGGTTAAATCAGAAGAAAGGGCAGTATTTCTGCCATATGTAAGTTTGCTTAATTTTGTTCAAGACAAGCAATACTTTAGTACAAAAGTCATCTTAATTAAAAGTACAGTACTACATTATTTATCTTCATAATTTCATCAGATATACCCATTGAATATGATAGGTTGTTAAATGTATGTTTTGGAAGCACTTTAAACAGTTTAAAGTATGTATCACCCAGTCCCAACAAAACTTTGGCCTGAAATGTGTTAAAAACCATGAATCTTGATACAATGAATTTGTAATTGTAATGTATTTTTATCAGGTCCCTGTGAGTACATTGTAACAAGATTTTAATGGATCAGATTCTTGTTCCCAGCATAATTTTTTTCAAGGTTCCTTGTTTATTTTGAAGGTACTACAATCTACTACTGCTACTCATCTACTAAATTTTCTCAGTACTAAAGTATCTGTGATCAATTAAGTACTCTACCTATTTTTGTTGAGAGTCCACTTACACAACCATGTCATGTTCATGTGCTCATTATCATCCCCAAGGGACCAGGTCTTCTTGATAGGGCAGATTAGATTTACTGGTAAGAGACCAAGTTTGGTTAGTTCAGCCTGATATAGATTAGATTTGTATTATTTGGAATGGTCACTCAAGACTCACTCTGTCCTGGCATTTCTCAGATCAGATTATCAACTACAGATTGTCCAGAATAAATCAGGCTTCAGGTTCCTTCTAAGTTTGAGTATTTCTGAAAAATACTGTACTACATTTCAAAGAGGTCTGGTGAATTTTAAGTAAAATTATATCTTTTTTTTGCCAACGTACTGCCCAATTGGTTTAGATGTTCCTAAAAATATCATCCACTCTTGAAGAAAATGTGACCAAGCATGAATAAGTGAACTTATTTATGTAAAAAAATTCATTACTTGTTATTAAAGCAATACTATTTTGGCGTTAAATACGAATTTTGCTTGCTGTGGATCTCTTGCAAACAGTCAACCTCTGGAGGAAAATTTGCGCGTTTTTTTCTCAATTGTGTGCCAAAATCTTTGACTGTTTTGATTTGTTCTAAAAAATTAAAGTTAAACAACTACATAACAACTGGATTAGAACGAACACCCAACCGAAAACGATTTGAAAATTCGTAAAATCTTATTAGAAATTGAGATTGTTTTTCATAAGAATGTGAAGATTACTGCCAAAAATATTGGAATGTGAAATACGGAGGTATTTGTGTTTAATGACTTGTGTATTGCAATGGTTATTCATATTTGCAATTGCTCATAAGCAGTGTAACACATGTTTCAGTCGTACCTTTAAAACGACTTTACAAGACCTTTTACAAAAACAGACACCTTTTTTAACGCAAACCGTTTATAACTTTTTGCTGAGCAAAGTAAGAGGGTTATAATACTGTGTAGAAAAATAAAGTCCAAATTGCCCTGGATTTTTTAGTTTTTTTTTATATTTTTCATTTCCTCAGGCTCGGTTTTGAACACCAGTGATGAGATGGGGGATCGTCACTGGTCACAAGGAAGAACCTCTTCATCTGTGTTGTACCAAGGTTTGGGAATGAGAAGGAGCAGTGGTGCTTCAGGTTTGATTGCATGCTTTATCCAATTTTTCAAATATCCTGAAATATGAATGCAGTTCTATATTTTCTTCTATAAGTTTGAAACAGCATGGGAAGTGTATTAAAAGAGAACCCCTTGAAGGTTTTGTGGTACATTTTTAAGAGTGATTAATTTTTTTTAGGAGATCTCTGAATTGCAGATCTTGAATCATGGAATTAGAGAGATATTATGCACTCACATGTTCCTTTATTGATGAAGCTATGTGAGATTTGGTTTTGGCACTTTTGGGTTACCATCAAAAAGAGAGATAAAATGTTGATATTAAGCCATTGGGAGAGTTGCAAGTGTTACAGATCAGAAGTGTGTTTTCTTCTCATTGCTGTTTGATTGATTGATATTCAAGCTTCATTTGGTGCTTGTCAACATTCAAAAGGCTTAAAAAATTCCCACTTATCCCTCCCACATCAATTTGACACATTCCAGCCAATATAGTTAGAATAGTAATAATAGTTCAATACTGTATATGGTATTAATCTATATAGGGAAAATACATCAGAGTATACATACAAATGCATGAATAATGAATTCTCATTTTTTCCCCAAGAATGACAAGGATCATAGAACATGGCAATTGCAGTCAACCCCCTTCTAACATACCTTCCACCTATTATCAGCATGGAAATTTTGCTGAAATGTTCTGGAAAATGTTTTTGTCTGTGGAAAAAATTGCGTTTGGCAAATATTGAAAAACGACTCGTTTCATTCTCCCAATATTATGACACATCTTTTTATTTCAGAAACTTGCCCTGGATTGTTTAGTTTTTTATTTTTCATGTCCTCAGGCTCGGTTTTGAACACCAGTGACGAGATGGGGGATCGTCATTGGTCACAAGGAAGAACGTCTTCATCTGTGTTGTACCAAGGTTTGGGAATGAGAAGGAGCAGTGGTGCTTCAGGTTCGATTGCATGCTTTATCCAATTTTTCAAATATCCTGAAATATGAATGCAGTACTATATTTTCTTCTAAAAGCTTGAAACAGCATAGGAAGTGTAGTAAAAGAGAACCACAATTACTTTTTGTTGAGGAAATCTCTGGATTGAAGATCTTGAATCATGAAATTGTTAGAGAGATAGTATGCACTCACATGCTCCTTTATTGATGAAACTATGTGAGATTTGGTTTTGGGTTACCATTGAAAAGAGAGATAAAATGTTGATAATAAGCCACTGGGAGAGTTGCAAGTGTTAGAGATCAGAAGTGGTTTTTCTTCTCAGCAGTGCTGTTTGATTGATTGATATTCAAGCTTCATTTGCTGCTTGTCAACATTCAAAAGGTTGTTATCCAATTTCCTTAGAAATTTAAAGTTTGGTGAGTCTTAAACAAATACTTACTATTACGTCTAACAGCAAGTTTGTTACCAACCTCGATACTTTAGATAACTATTTCTATCCTGGTCTTTTAATTGATGTCTTCCGCGTGCTTTGCGGGCCAGAAGGATTTTTAGATAGTTCAAATAAATGTAGATACCAGGATCTCACGTAGAGAGGCAATAAGCTTTATTCAATGCTGACAGTGCACAACAATCAGTTGCGAGTGCTCAGGCACGAATGCTGACGAATATAACATTGCATGGAAAGTTAAAGATCCGCGGTGGCCAGCCAGCAGGTTGCTCAACTCGCTGGCTGACGCATGATGAATATATACACACACGGGCCGGGACAGTGGCGCCCCCGATTGCTGGCCTCAAAACTCATGACGATGCAAACTTTAGAGTGAGCCCTTTTTGGGAAGGGGGAGAGAAAAATATACGAGAAATATTGGGAGCCTGCACACGCAGCGCTACCTGTAAAAATACCTTAGGATCACAAGGTATAAAAAATCCCCACTTATCCCTCCCACATCAATTTGACACATTCCAGCCAATATAGTTAGAATAGTAAGAATAGTTCAATACTGTATATGGTATATAGGGGATTAATCTATATAGGGAAAATACATCAGAGTATACATACAAATGCATGAATAATGAATTCTCATTTTTTCCCCAAGAATGACAAGGATCATAGAACATGGCAATTGCAGTCAACCCCCTTCTAACATACCTTCCACCTATTGGAATTATGTCTGATGTACTGCCTCCTGAGGCAGGTTTTCATCCTGTCTAATGTACCAAATCCATCTAACATACTCCAGCATAATTAAAAATTGTATCATGCAAGCCTATAAAAGCAACTTCATCTAACTTACTTTTGGTCTAACATATACTGATCCATTGCACAAATTAATTGTTATTAGATGGGGGTGAACTGTACTGAGCAGACATTAAAGCACAAGGTTTTCAGTCTATTTCCAGATACTTTTTAATCAATTGAACAAATTAGAAAAATCGGTGAGAAGAAATCACTTCATCCTGGTCCTCTGAGATTTATGAGAGTACCTTTTTTCAAAATCAATTTCTAAGAATTTTATGTCTGTCAATAGTTGAATTCTTACAAAATGGAATGATAGGCAAATTTAAAGGTTCTCTTGTGATGATGGAATGAAAAAATCTACTTATGCTGTATGGCTGCAGTAATTGCACCACTTTGACACTCAAGAATTTAGTTCACTTCAAATTAAAATTCCAAGAGTTTATTAGCAGAGCAGTACTATTGTTTGTCATTTGGCTTTTTGATGAATTGTACTGTACTGTACTGTAATTCACTGGCCAGTTTTTGTGTAATATTCCTGTTGATTTTTTTTCTCATGTAGATGTAGATCAATTGAATTGAATGATTTCTTATGAGGCTCTCACTTTTCCAAGCAACAAAGTATTATTAGAGGTTAGTACTGTATGAGGAAAAATTTATGTTTGTCTGTGAAAAGGATTGCGTTTTACTCCTTGAAAAAATAATTGACTGAAAGCGCAAAAATTGACAGTGACAGCTTCTTGAAAATTGAGCAAGGTCTGGTGAGCTGTGCCAAATTTTATTTTGCCAAATCCGAGGCTTATAAAAAAAAGTGTGCCAGTCAGATCATCAGATGCCGATAAGGCTTATATGCATTTGATACATGACAGTTAGTTGAAAGCCACAAAAGTCTTCATCATCTATTCAGTAAACTCCATCATGGGAAGCATAAGCCTATTTTCTGTTCTTGTTGACTGAAATCAATTTTTTTGCTCAACATACTAATTTTTTTCAAATTTAGAGGAACGTGAGCGTTCTTCAACACCAGTTGGCAGTTCCAACAAGACGCCGACATCAAAATTATTCGGCACTTCTTGGAGCCCAGCTCCAACAGGGACCAGCAGCCAAGAATTCCTCAGCACCACAAACATGACCTCGTCGCTAGGTGTCACTGGCAGACGAGCCAGCAGGGAAAAGTTGGGTACTCCATTTTCCTACCTGGACCCTTCCAGCTTACTTGGGGATACAACTAGTGAACAGGATGCTGCGAGAAGAGGATCGTCTGACAGAGAGAAGTTGAACCAGTCTTGGGGCAGTTCCAATGGATTTGGCCATGGTGTGTTCTGATTGACTGATGCATGACAGTATGGTACTGTACTTAAACTCTTGAATTAATGAACAGAACACTTTATTTGCTGCTTTTCAGCGTTCACAAGGTTCAATCAAGATTTCCACAACCAAACCCCCTTTCACCCAACCCAAATNAAAGGTTCTCTTGTGATGATGGAATGAAAAAATCTACTTATGCTGTATGGCTGCAGTAATTGCACCACTTTGACACTCAAGAATTTAATCACTTCAGAGCAGGAAAGATGACAAAAATAAAAGTAAATACAATACAACATGAAATACAACTGGACATCTGACATGTATGCATGCCCCCATTCATTCCCTGACATTGGTAACAAAATATGTGTATGTATATATTAATTTAAAGCACAAGGTCCTTCAGCTTGTTTCTGTATGAGGTTTAGTTGAATAATGAAAAAATTAAAGAGAATCTTTGATGAGAAATCATATAAAGCCAACAGTTTATCTTGATCCTTTAAGCTTTCAGAAAGGGTCTCTTCATTGAATTCCAGTACTGTACTCATAAATCTTTAAACTCTATGGGCAGCAGTGCCAGGATTTATTTGCGAAATATTGTGCTACAAGGAATATTGAAAAACAAGAAAGCAAAAAACTTGATCCTTTAAGATTTCAGAAAGGGTCTCTTCATTGAATTCCAGTACTGTACTCATAAATCTTTAAACTCTTTGGGCAGCAGTGCCAGGATTTATTTGCGAAATATTGTGCTACAAGGAATATTGAAAAACAAGAAAGCAAAAATTATCAGAAAAGCCAAAGTCAGGAAAAATCCCAATTTTTTTTTACCATTCCTGCTGTAAAATTTGTGTCAAGAAAAGCAAAAAAGTTGCTGTTGGGTGGCATTTTTTCTGCATTCCTGCCAAAGGATTAGCATTGACAGATTTTGAGAAAAATGGCAAACCCATTCCCAGATTTTTCCTGACTTCGGCTATATTTTGTTGACCTTTGGTCAAACCAAAATGCACAAGCATGCAAAAATATCCCAGCACTGCCATAGGATGGAATTTGACCTGCCACCATCAAAAGGTTAAATTGCTGTTTTGTTGTTGTGCAAGTTTAGTCAAGAGGATTCATTTATGATAAATTGTCAAACATTTACAGTGAGAACCTTAAATGTGGATGTAATTGGTGTTGGACCTTGTCCCTATGTTGGAATGTCTGCATGTTGGATCACATTTTTCAATTGACCTGCAAATGGGAAGACATTCAATTGAGTCATCTCCAGTTCATCAAAAGTTAAATAGGATGAAATGTGCTTCTCTACTTGAAAATACCGAATATAAGTGCACAGAAAAAGCTATACAGAACTTGATCTTTTGACATCAATACAAAAAGGAGCTCAAAAAATCAAAGAAAAAGTACAAGTTTTGCCTGACTGTGGACAGAAGTAAAGATAATAGAGAATACTTCAAAAAAGGAGCAACAATTAACCTGTTTTTGATTATAAATTCGAGTAAATTTACAGTAAACTTGTTCTTGAACTTTTTGAATATAAATAGCTCAATTTGCCAAATAAAGATCAAAATTTTAATAGGACTTGTTGAACATTCAAGTCATGGCATGAAGGAATCAAAAGAGTGATTTTTTGTTCAAAGCATTGCAAATTATAAAGGTTATCAAAAATTTTTGATTGAAATATATGTAAAGAAGATACTGTATTGTCAAATCGTGGTTACATTAAAAAAGTAGGAATGAGTCAAACTTGTTCTGTTTCAACTACGTTAGCGCATTCGTCTCTTTACGTCATTTGAAGAAAAAATTACGTAAATAGGAAAAATTATTGCTTTTTCTAGAAAAAATTACGTAAGTAAAATTACGTAATTAGAAAAAATAAGTGAGGAGAGGGTTTTTTGTATGACTAAACTCTCTGCATACCAAGAAACCTGTGCTTCAATGAAAAATATCTTCTTGTGATGCCTTTTTATTACTTTTTTCCCAAGACAAGTCTCATGATTTTTAATTATTTTTTTTTTTCAGAGTCTTCGACTTTATTCAACAAGACCAGCAGCCCAGCGGAAAAGCGCTTCGAAAGCAGCAATACGTACAGATCAATGAACTACACGGAAATGAGTTCTGGAGGCGAGGAAAAATTGTATTCGTCCTTGTCCCGGTCGCAGAATTCCCCCAGCAGAATTTCAGACGAAACAGTGCAAACCATCAACGACTTGGTTGACGCAGGTCCTGCTTCCACCTTCAAACTGGTTCCTGTCCACAAGCAATCAGGGTTCGTCATCAGTGCCAATGATGCGTCGCAGTCGGATATCAAGGTGATCCAACATATCATTCAGCCTTTCAGAGAACAACTTTTTTGAGTACCGTA